GGCATAACGAACCCAATGGTGATACCTGCCCACCTACATCAAAAGAGAAAATCGAACAACAGATAAAAAGGCTCAAAAACCAAAAGTCACCCGAAGAAGATGACCTTCAAGGTGAAATTTTAAAACATGCAGATAGCTCCATGATAGAGAGTATATACTTGTTAATAAAAGAAGTGTGGGTGGCGGAAATTATACTGACAGATTGGATAGTAGTATATATATGCCCAATCCACAAAAAATTCGAAAAGCAAGAACAGTATAGATAGAACTAGCATAACCGACATTCTGAATATTACTCTCATATTTCAAATAATCATTAGCGCGTAATTAAACTGATTAGATTAAAGTGGTTTATTTCACTAGATTATATTATTAATAAGGTTTTTAGTCGTCACCATGCCGTGGTCTGGTGAACCAACTTGGTTTCGTTATTGAGGCATTTTTCAAAAACGCTGAATGTGTGATTGCGACACAGAAAGCATTTCGCACTCGGTTCAGTTTGAATCCAAACGAAAGTGTCCCTGATCGGAAAACGATTTTGAATTGGGTACAAAATTTAAGAGCAACGAGATCTGCAATACCTAAAAAATTGGTTGRACGTCCCAAGTCGTTAGAACACCGGAAAATATTGCCGCAGTAAGAACATCGATAGAGCAGTCTCCGTCGCGTTCTGCTCGGAAACATGCCTCTGCTCTCGGGATATCGGATCGAACGGTAAGGCGAATTTTGCACTGTGATCTTAAATTAMACCCATATAAGATTATGGTAACTCAGGAATTAAGTCCAACAGTTTGTGGAAAACGAAAAGATTGCTTTAATGCAATCCTTACAGTTGTGCCTCCCAACGGTATTGTGTGGAGTAGCGACGAAGYACATTTCCACATTTCTGGCACAGTGAACAAACAAAATTTTCGTTATTGGGCTGCTGAAAACCCTCTAAAAATACACYAACGACCTCTTCATAGTCCTAAAGTAACAGTTTGGTGTGCTTTGTCCTCGGTAGGCATCGTGGGACCTTATTTTTTTAAGAGGGTTGTGTTACAGTTACTGTGACTTTCATCCGGTACTGGAGAACTTTTTACGCCCGAAAATCGAAGAGTACGAAAATAATGATATCTTTTGGTTTCAACAGCATGGGGCCACAGCTCATACAGCCCGTTGTTCTCGTGCTGTATTACAAAAAATGTTTTCTGGTCGCTTGATCTCCTTAAGGGAATACATTACATGGCCTCCTCGCTCCCCTSATTTGAGCCCATGTGATTATTTCTTATGGGGACAACTCAAAGCTGAAGTTTTCAAACATCGACCAAAAACCATTGAAGAACTAAAAGAGGCCATCCGTCAAGAAATCTCCGTGATTCCACTCGATATGCTGGCGAAAGTGTTGGAAAACTTTCGAGAACGGCTCCATGTGTACGTTGCTCGTCAAGGCAATCATTTAGACGATATAATTTTTAAAAAATAATTTAAAAAAAACCTTTCATAATATAGTTTTAAAAATAAATTTTTTTTCTTTATCTTGTATCGTTTTTTTTTTTTAAATTCACTTCGGAAATGTGGGAGTCCATTATGCCGTACCCTGTATAAAATAGACTAAGTTCAAAGTCAAAGTAGGAAACGTGACATCGAGGATGGTGGAGGTAAGAACCGGACTTAGACAGGGGGATGCCTTGTCACAAATTCTTTTTAATTTAGTATTAGAGAAGGTGATCTGAGAAATAAATATTTTAAGAGATGAAGGAGTAAGAATGGATATAACTTGATTTATTCTGATCACTTATGCAGACGTATAGTCTTGCTAAGGGAAGAGGAACAAATAGTGGTATATCTATGTGACAGGTTAATAGAATCGGCAAATAAGGTGGGGCTACGTCTCGACATGGAAAAAAAACGTAATACATGAAAGTTAGTAGGGACTATATTATTTTCCTGAAACCGAAACTATGACAGTGGGTTACTACTAGTTCAAAAAATTTGAAGTTTTCAAATACATGGGCCAATGTAACATAGAAGAATGAATGTTAAATTGAAATTCAACAAATAATAAAAATGGGAAATAAATGCTTCTTTGCACTAGGCAAACTACTATATGCTCGAAAGTTCTGTCAAAAGAGGTTAAAGTTCAGCTATACAAGAAATAACGGAGCTTTTCAATACACCAACTATTATAAACGAGATCAAAATTAAAAAGATGGAATGGGCAGATCATGTATATAGAAAGCAAGAATCAATGGTTCAAAGAGTACTCCAAGAAAACTRAAGGAGAAAAAGACCACTGGGTAGACCAAGGCTACGTTGGGAAGATGGAATTCAAAAAAGATTTCCTAAGTGCTAGAGGAGTGAACTACGGAGACATGGATTGGAATGAGGTAGCGGATAATAGGGGAGAATTTGTTCTGTGGAAAGATGGTCTCAAAKGTCTTAAATTATTATTACTGGACAATAATATGTGAATGAAATCCATATTAAGTAATGGCTAACGTAGTTGAGTCTATATGAATATAAAATGATCTAAAACTTTACTTTTTTAGTAAAGTATAAATATAAAATGATCTAAAACTTTACTTTTTTAAAGTACATTTTTTATGTTGTAAGATCCTAAAGTTAAACACATGGAATTTTTGTTGTATACTTATAAAACAACATTTAGATTTAGTGTTTTCCAATTAAATATATAGGCTTACTAGTTAAAATTGTCCATGAGTGAAGCAGGGATCGCTGATTTCAATTCCTGCAACTTTCATTGTCTACTCTTGTGCCTTATTAATAATTGACATAGCCAAAAAAAGTTAAATAGGAAATTGGACACGCTTAAATTCGAAGGGATATTCGTTTGTTATTATTGGTATTCTTAGAATACATACTATTTGACCACTCGCTGAACCAGTAAGAATTTCAGATTCAATAAGATTATTTTCAAAGACAATATTTTTAATCTCATTCCATCGCACAATTTGGRTGCATTTAAATTTCGCATGATAATAATAGGCGCACCAATTTTTAAATCAAGTTTGGGTGGGGGGAGACCTGATGGATTTAATTAGTTAAGAAATTCATTCAGGATATCTATAGCTTCATCTTGATTATTAAGTGTATCTATGGTAATATAGTTTTTTTTTATCAGCTTCGAACATGGAAAGAACTTTTTCGTTTATGATGTTGACAGTGTCGTTTTAGGGGCCAAAATTGCACGTTCACAGAGCCATTCATTTGATTTATTGGAAAGATGAGACATTAAAAAAAAATTTTTTTTAACCGTCAGCCGTTGGACACCCTGAGTGGTCAGGGATAATCGAATTGTAGTGATTGTGGAAATCCAGAATGCTTGCCATGTTGCCAAGTCTACATAACAAAAYATTATTTATAATAATTGATAACTCCTTCGTTTATTAAGTTAGAGAATCGATCAAATTCCATATACCTTCTCCGCAATAAGCTAATACATAAAGGTATAATAATAACATTTT